CTCAAAACGCCTGTGCCAAGGTCTCTGTTTTCTTCACTTTTTGAGGTAAAATATTTTAAGAACTTTTGACAAACTCCTCTGTAAGAACTAAACTCCATTTAATCTGTCCCTGCATCTATTTCTCATATAATATTGACCGTGGGCAGTTCAGTTACGAAGATTACTTTATGTAGAAGTTGAATGACTACTTGCTCAGAAATTTAGTTACCCAAATTAAAATAATCGAAATCAATAATAGTGATAAAACAACAGAGGAAGTTATCGCAAAGTAAAGTATACCTTATCTATTAATGTGAGTATCTCAAAGTTTGTGATGCATCACTGAAAATGTATTAGTAATAAAAAAGGCTAATACGGACTAGCTGCTAAAAGCCCCATGTGCAACGGTGCAAATGTAAGGGACATACAATCCCTACCTGGAAATTTTTACAATCTTAAGTAATGCATAAAGCACAGGATCTATAAAATATAACAGCATTGTGAATATTTTTGCATTTTTAGTCTGTGCATATTAGGATGTGAATGAGAAGTGAAAAAGGGAGCAAGTGGAGCAAAGATGGAAAAGTTTATTCACAGCTTTTCCCTCCTTAGTCACACAATCTGAATTTTGTAGACTTTGTAAAGACTGGTGCAGTGTAAGAGGTAAAACAGATGTTTAGATTTCATCGAGGTGTTTTGTCCTTGCAAGGGATGTTCAGTTTTACTTTTTGCTCAGTGACCACAATAAACCAGGAAGTGCTTTTGAGTTACCACTGCAGAAGCTGACTGCAAAATTGCCAGGATGACAAGTGTTTCATTCAACTGCACTCTAAACACTGTACAAAATGTTTCTGGAAATGTTCCCTTCTTGTTGTAGTTCAACTATTAGCACTGCTATCCATCTTTGCGCTAAAGACCTTCTTGTCCATGGGAAGGATCCTGCCAAAAGAACGAACGCATCTGCTGATGAGAAAGGTTGCAGCTGTCGACAGGAGCATTGGAGGAGAGACAGAGCGTCAAGAGCTCAATACACCGAGGCAGGTTTGCAGCACTGCAAAAGTATGTAAGATTGTAACTGGTCACAAGTTTCAGCAGGGTCATTAAATAGAAGATCCCGGATTTATAAACTAAGCATTCCACAGCAGCCAAACAAGGCTTAAACAACTAAGAAAAATATTAAATAAGAAAGTTTTCAAAAATTTAATTGCCCAAGTGTCCCGGAGTGCAAAGTGTTTTTCCTATTTAATCACCAAGTCTGTCTGGTTTAATCAGTCCATGTAACAAATCCAGATTTATTAGGTCTTCAGCAAGCGAACAGTTTTTGTATCTGACATTTTTCCCTTCTGAAGACAGAGAGATCCAGTACCTAGCGCATCTTCAGCTGGCACAAACCTAGAACAAAAATCCTAGAGTGTTCAGTTACATGGAAATCAAAGCTGGCGGCACATCCCTGTCCAGCCAGGAAGGAGAGATCCAGTACGCACACCTGCAAGAGCGGAGAGCACACAGACAAGCGAGCTGGTCCAGGTACGGTGCAAAGCAGGACAGGAATGGAACTGGAGAGTATCAGAATAGCTGACAACTAGCAGGCATGTTGCTATAAAATACTCCAAACTGAATTTACTTATGAATGAAATAACAATCTATCACTGTAATTTGCCAGTTACCTTCTTAAAACCATGAGGAACACCAAGAAATCAGGTAGTCCTCTCCTGTCTGAAGACACATTTATCTACATTCTGTGTCATCCTATTTTCAAGAAACCCTTGATGTTGAAAATTCCTTAGGCAATCTTAATGCTTCCTACAATTAGCAGTCAGAAGATCTCAGTAAGATCAACTAAGTTTCTGTTCAATAGTCTTATCTTTTATGTCAAGAAATTATGTGAAGGCATCCTTGTAACATTAATGAACTACTGTGATTAATGTGCTATGCTGAGAGTGCGAGGGATTAAAGAAGTTAACATTTGTTTCTATCTCTTCTTTAATCTGGGAAATTTATCTTTTTAAGCAGGTAAATATTTTCTTCCTTCAGGGCTTCCACGTATTATATGCATTAGCTCTCCTTTAGGTGCTTGCATACTGCATTTACATACAAGTTGTTCAATTTGGAGAGCAAGACCTGGTTGCAAATAACTTTTCCCTCAAAAAAGCACCATTGTGGTATCTTCTGATACATTTTCACCACGTTCACTACACACACAAATTTGTGAAAAATCCCCAACCCTACTATGAAACAAAAAGCAGTTTACAAAGCAAGCTGCTGTTTTCAGAAAGCAAGCTCGAAAAGAAGGAAAGTTAGCCTCGGTAGTTTTAAGCTATTTTAAGAAACTAACTAGAAAAGACACTACTGCTTTCTCTTTCAACCCTGAGCTGTTCAGTTTCAGCCCTTGCTACCAGTACTAAAACTGAACACTGCCTGCAAATAAAATGATTTTTCGTATGACTTTGTAAACTACATCTTAGTCCCACTAGTTTGACGTTCTCCCTTGAACAGAGTATATAATCACTAATCGCTACTAACTGTACTTTTGGAGGCTGATATACCAACTCATGTAAATTTGCACAGAAATACATAGTCAAAAGTGATTTTTACTTCAGGCTATTTATCAACTTGTTCATATATTGCAAAATGCATCCTTTTTTATTTAATAAGGGACAATCCGGTATCAGAAATGGATGTTCCAGCTCTTTTCTCTATAAACTATTTGTTCTTTTTGTTTTCTAAGTTCCAACTATACCACTGGTGTATATTCCAGTCTGAGAGTCCCCAGGAAGTGAAAACGAAATAGCAGTGTACCTTTGTTGTGGCATTTCTCAGAGCTTACTTGTAAGTGTCCCCTCTGCCCCTTCAGTCTGATGGGCCTTGTTCAGTGTTATTACACCTAGTAGCACACAGAGGATCAGGATGCACCTGCAAACTTGCAGCACGTGGTACTTCCTTGAGTTGAAGATTCCAAGTTGGCAGTGTCCACAGAGAACGTTTCACATAACAATAGGCTGTTGTTCTTTCCAGCTCAGTTTACGAACAGCTAGAGATTCACCAACGCATAAATAAATGGTACTCCTGAATAACCTCAAACTATTTGTGTATTGTGAAGGGAGGGGGAAATAGTTTGCCTCTTCTAGAAACGAATAAAGAAACTAAGTGAATGATATTAAGAGATGTATAAATAAACTTTTTCAGTAAATACAATTCACAGGTTTATACTTGTTTAGAAGTATTTAACCACAAATACCTGTTAATTAGACCATTACATGAATTTTTCATCATTCAGAGCATTAAATTCATTTGTATCAAATGATACACCGTAATTACAGCTATCGTGCTTGCCCCTTTGATTAAAAATTATTATTTTTTTAAAGATAAAGTATATGCCAGTATTTTTAAATATCTGTCTTAGAGATCTTTAACAGTAAAAAACCCTCTGAGCCATGGAAGACTAGTAAAAAAGTAAATGCTCCTTTAACAGTTTAACCTTTCTCCCAGATAACCTATCACTTCCTTGATGCTTTTCTTAAGAAACATGCCTTTTTTAAAAAGATTCAAACTACCCAACAAGTTTATTTGAAAATGAATGTCTGCCAAAAATTAGGCATTTGCAATGTTACTTCTAATATGAGCTAATATGTTTTAGAAGTGAAAATTGTAGCTGAAGTTCCCAGAAAAATGTCAGTTTTCCCACAGTTATATAACACTTGATCAGACAATTTCTGATTTGTTTGGTGATTTAAATACAACCACTACGTTATTCTGACAGCCATACAAAATGTAAGAGTAACTTGCACTTTAACCCATGGTAATAACATCAAGATTTTGAACAGCTACAAATGCAGCATTTGCATTTTCAGTGCCATATGAAGTTGAATTCAGTACCACCTAAACCCAAAGCAGCAGCTGATTAAAAAAAGAAAACATAAGTCAAATGATAAAGCGACATAGTTTAGTACACTAAAACAAAACCAAGGACAATGGTATTTGTATAAGGTTCCAAAAATATACAGATGGGGGGGCGGGGTATTAAAAATCACTGTACACAACTCTGAGGTTGTTAAAGTGACCAGAGAGACTGAACAGTGCAAGACATGCTTTTCCAGTTACAAGCTCAAAACAGAAGTGCAAAGGAAATTAAAGCTTTGTCTGAAGTGATTTACCGTTTAGGACAAGGAAATCTTAGAATATTGTCATCAGTATTACAGAGAAATTTCCATCCCACCCCACCCCCAACACACACACACAAGATAGTTTTAAGTTTTTTCCATAATACAGCATTTCATTCAAATGGTGTCCCCCGAGCTTAGTTACTGTAGGGACAATTTGTCTGGTCCTTATTCGATGTCGGCCTATGGATCAAGTGATGCATAGGCAGCCTCTCAATTCTCCAGCTTTGGCTAACAATACCTGCAATTTACAGGCCGTGAAAGTAGCAGATAGCCTGGCTTCAGGCTCTCCTGCAGCTAGCTTCATGAGATCACCTCCTTGCAAGAAAGCAGTTGTGCTAAGAGCAGATGCTGAGTTATGGCTGAGGAACGAAGAAATTGCTTTATAGGTCTCTGTACTCTCTCTCCCAGAGTTAAGAACAATTTCAGGCAAGCGCTTTTAGCAGGCTGGCTACGCTGTGCATGCATCTATCCATGCAAATGTAGAATATGGCTCCCAAGACCTAGAACCAGGGTGTGTGCATGTGAAGACTGGATAGAAGGCCCTTCCTTGTAAGTTTACAAAAATATATAGCCAATACCATAGCTTAAGAAGTCACTTTTACTCATTACAGAGAGATCTCCAAAAAGTATTAACTACTTTTCAGACGTTCCAGACAAGGTCACTTGTAACAAAAAAGGTCAAGTTCTCTAAAACAAGATTTTAAAAGTGGATCTTTCCTTCAAGTGAACAGGACAGCTGTTTTTACGCTTAGCTTTTTAGTCAGTTAAAACGGAATTTATTTAAGATTTTATTGGGACATATGCATAAACACAAATAAGTTTACTTTAAACACATCTGCACAGAAAGAAAGATTAACCCTTCAAAACATAACAGAGCAGGTCTGGTTAGTATGTATCTATTGCAAACCTTAAAGATTCTGAGCATTAGGTCCACCAATAGAGAAAGCAGGGGAAAAGTCTCAATGAAAGAAAATTACTGTTCAAGTCTAAGTGGTGTTTTGAAGAGCCAGCAGCCTAAGTGACACCATGAAGCTAATTACAGTATCCAAACGAGCAGACCTGCTTGGGCTACTAAAGCAGTGTATCCTCCTGAAGGTGTCATTTACTCCCAAGTTATTTTCTGTTTCGAAGGCGTTTAGATTTCCTAGGACAGTCTGTGGATTCAACTGCCTTCCTCCGTTTTCTAGGAGATTGTTCGTTTGAGCCAGAACCTGAAGAATTTCCTACTGTGCTCTCCATCACCTCTCGCAGCTTGCGTTCAAGCTCAGCCAATCGGGCGTTCTGTTCACCTATGATTTGGGTTTGCTCTAGCAGTTTCTGATCTTGATCTTGGAGTTGTTTCTGTTGCTCTTGCGCTTTGATGCGAAGCTCTGAGATTTCCCGCTTTAGCGCTGTCAGCCCCGTGCCATTCACTTTTACTTGCTGCTGGAGTTTGGTGACTTCCTGTCTGGAAGGGTTCTGCTTGGAGAAGAGCTGCATTGTTGACAGTGCTGTAGAAGGCCCTGGAGCTTCAGAAAAAACTATGATTAATCCTCTACAACTTTAAGACAAAGGTAGAAATTGTATCCCAGTTTTCATATTTTGCTTATCCCCACTCCCCAAGCATGAATGTGAATACTGGTTGCAAGTTATGTAGACATGTAAACAGATGTACAGTCATTTAAGTGTCTAACGAGAGCACATGGTATCTTAGAGCACTAGTTTAATTTAAAATATTTTCTGTATACACGCCCCCCTCCTTTTGCCATATCAAAAAATATGTAAAGTTACTATGTTGTCATCTAGAGTTAGTGTCACAGATGTTCAGTCAAAAACTCACAACACATCTATAAATTACTTATTACAGGATAGTTATATTAAATAAATATATTTCATTAGAGCAGTACAACTTGCTGTCTTAGTTGTAGATAGCTAAAATTCTAAAATTTTGTCGTTTCGGGCTTAATGCGATATTTCAGTTTAACTTACATTTTAGAAGAAAGTAATTTACTTCCCATGCTTCTTTAGTCTGACTCTTCCTAAGTACTAAAATCAATCTGGATTTTGAGCTTGTTTTTCTTGATTTTTTTAAAGTTCCTGCAAATCAAGGAGACTAAAAGCTTCTGTATAAATTCTTTCACTTTATCTATCATAAATTATACTATCACTTTATCTATCACTTTATCTATCACTTTATCATAAGTTATGTCTATCACTTATCTATCATAAGAGATATCTATCACTTATCTATCATAAGAGATATCTATCACTTTATCTATAATAAGAGATATCTATCACTTATCTATCACTTTATTTATCATATATCTATCATATATCTATCACTTTATCTATCACTTTATCATAAGTTATGTCTATCACTTATCTATCATAAGAGATATCTATCACTTATCTATCATAAGAGATATCTATCACTTTATCTATAATAAGAGATATCTATCACTTATCTATCACTTTATTTATCATATATCTATCATATATCTATCACTTTATCATATATCTATCACTTTATCTATCACTTTATCTATCACTTTATCATATATCTATCATATATCTGTCACTATCTGTCACTATCTGTCACTATCTGTCACTATCTGTCACATATCTATCACTATCTATCACTATCTATCACTATCTATCACTATCTATCACTATCACTATCTATCACTATCTATCATATATCTATCACTATCTATCATATATCTATCATATATCTATCATATATCTATCATATATCTATCATATATCTATCATATATCTATCATATATCTATCACTTTCTATCATATATCTATCACTTTATCTATCATATATCTATCACTTTATCTATCATATATCTATCATATATCTATCATATATCTACATATATCTATCACTTTATCTATCATATATCTATCATATATCTATCATATATCTATCATATATCTATCATATATCTATCATATATCTATCATATATCTATCACTTTATCTATCATATATCTATCACTTTATCTATCATAAGATATATCTATCACTTTTTCTATCATTTTACTCTTCTAGCAATGCTGTGTAAGTAAGATACAACTTTTAAGCGCTTCCAAGACAGAACAGTCTGGAACAGCCCAGAACAGTCACTCTCCTCCTCTTTTTTTCCCCCTTTAGGATGCCAGCGTAGCTGCAGTTATGTGACACTAAGGGGTTGCCATTTGATAGGTTGTGCTCCTCCCTCAACACAAGACAGGCATTTTTATGCCACATAAAGCCTTGGCCTTGGAAAGCCGATGGACATCAACTATGGCTTTGGGCAATACCTCCTTAACTGAGAGACTCAATGGAACTGAGGTATAATTAAGAGGATATAATTAAGAGGTGGCATACACACTTATGACTAAAAGGATGGACAGGACATACCAGAAACAACAAGCAGCTCCTACAGTTAGGCCTATCATTTTTGCTTGAGATGTAATTATTTTTTTTATTAAGTTATCCTTTCAGAGAGTTAATTTCATAGTTCCTAGGAAGCGTGAAAATGTTCAGCACAGGGAAAACACTACGGTTTACTAGCCTTTTGCTTTTGGCCATTATATGAGGCAACTACCTTAGACTTTGGTTCACAAAAGTTCTGGAATGTCTGACAGATTATTATATAGAGGACTAGTTTAATTGTTTATTTATAGACTGTTATTTTAATTGCCTTTTCACAATTGCCCATAAGCATTTTGCTTGTTAGTGTATACATTAGTGCCCCAGGAAAGTAAAAAAGCACATACAAGTACGTTCTAGCTCTCTATACACTACAACAGCTTTGGCAAATTCATTTGCTGATCGTTCTAAAAATAAAAGGCATCGGGTTGTCATCTCACGTGCCAAATTTCAACCAAGTGCAATGATAAAGTCTCATTCATTGGTGGCACAAAAGCGTTTGTTTAATGAATACACACGATGCATAATTCTAACATGTATTCAAGTGACTCTTCTTTTGGTAGTACAAAGGCTCCTTAAATTTCAAAGCAAATGAATTTCAGTTAGCATTCTTAAGAAACAAGTACCATCAATATTTATGTAATAAAGCTCACATTTAAGGGAGGGAGCTTTAAAAAGATACAGTATTGTGAATTTTTACAGAAAAAAAAAACTAAATAAAACTTAAACTATACTTTGGAATTAATACCTGGGGCAGTTCCTATCAGGCGTCCTGATACATCTGATCCAGGCATCTTTCTTTTCAGTATTGGAACAATCTTCTCATCAAAATATTCCATAGCCATGGAGGAAATGTCCCTTAGCTCTTGAAGAACTTCATGAGCTCTCTGAGGAGCTCTTGTAGAGTTTACATACCTTAGCACACGATAAATTTCGTCTATTACCTAAAACATTTAAGAAGAATTAGGATTTTCTGATAAAGGCAAGATTATTTCAGAACGTTCTAGAAGTGCTGGCATATTCAGGGGCTTTTACTACATAACTATTGCATACCACTGTGTGCTTTAGTTCTAGATGAGCTTTTTGAAATGAAGTGCTGTTCGTGATATAACAGAGAAGCTATTCACTTGATCTATCGCAACAACTCTCTTCGAACTCATGAAATAATGCTCATTGTGTGAAATTTTGTTTTACTATATCCAGACTTGAGTTCTAAGTTATGTAATCTATACTCTGCAGCGCATAATTTTTTGGAGAACCTGAAGCAAGAAACTCTAAGCCACAATGCAGAGCAGTCACTCCCACAGCCAGTTAGGAGGCATATGAAACACATGAATGGAACAGCAAAAATTACCTTTATGTCAGCCTGAAGAGCTGTAAATATTTACTCCAGTCCACTTGCGTACACCCAAAACATTACAAATTCAGATTAAGTCCAAAATATATTAATTTATAAAACATCAATCCACTACTGACCGAAAACCTAAGCACTCTCTTGACAGGTTTGACAAACAAGGCCTCTGTTTAGGAGAGCTGCAGAGAGATGAAAGGTGTCTTGCTAATCTATGAATTATAGTCTGAGGCAGGTCCAGAGAGGACTGCTGGTCTCTTACTACCGAAACTACTGACTCCGGTATTTTGCACAGGATTAAGAATGGTTGAAGAGTCTCCTGAAGAGCACAGGTCTTAAGGACTTAGAATCATAAGTAACACAATACAGTTGCCTCTCGTGTTTTAAAAAAGGACGCAAAAGCCAGACATGACTAAAGTGTCTCATCAGGCAACAAGCTTACAAAACTCTCTAATTTTACCCATATTATATCCTGTTAGCAACAACATCCTCAAAACATTCTCCTGCCATTCTCAATATAAAGTCTTGCAGCAGTGCTTTGCTATCACCAGGAATCCTCACACAGAATGCTGAACCTCAAATCAGGATTCACATCTTCTGACACGAGCCCACTTCCTGAAAATTCTATGGCAGCTTCATTCAAATGAAATTTCCTGAGGGGAGCAGGACAGCTGGGGGGGAAACCACAGGCTGTAAGTCAACACTAAGCCTTGAATCTGCTTGACCAAAACAGGATTTTCTGGTGAACTGGTAACTGCTGAGAGCGCTGCGGCGCTAGCAAGCTCATACACTAAGGAACCCAAAAAACCTTTTCAGCTGTTGTATTAGAATACAAACAAGGTGCTACGACTCAGCGCCCACAAGGAAAGCGTCTGGCAAGCTCACTTGTCCAACTCATGCACACCTAGGTCTAGATTGCATGTTGCCTTTCTGTCTGCTGTTCAAAAAAGTAAGGCAACGTTTCTTTTAAGTATTCCATTTACTATGTGAGTATCAAGGACTTAAGTTTATTTGACTTCATGTTATATTACATTTTTTAAAATATAGGGCATATATAAAAATATGAAGTCAAATAAGCATAAATATATTAAACTATAATGATTTAATTTAAAAGTAATTAATACCAAGTCAACAAGAGTGTACAGCAATCAAGTTATTACCTCTTCAAGATAAAAATACATTTCATGCCGACAGCCTGTCCTACTATACTAATGTAAAAATGCCTGCCATGCTTTGCCTGAATCCAACAGCTAACTTCTGCATTCATCCCAGTGTAATTCAGTTATCTGCCCATGAAAAATTAATACCAACATTTCCAAACTTCACATGGGAAGATCAATGAATAGAGCAGTAGGCTAACGTTCACAGATCTTGTTTCAACCCTGAGCTGTACCAGTCTTCCCCAGATCATCATTTTGTCAATTCCCCTGTGCACTTCTGTTTTCACAGCTCATAAAACAGTGGTATCTCTGATGTACATCTTGCTTGCATAATTTATGTTTTATGTTGGGGTAGTATTCTTAAACACCAGAATTGTTCAGTAGTATTAACATTTAACACACTTCCTCTACATTTAAAACTAATTCCACCTACTGTACAAAAATACCCCATCCACTGTAAAAATGAAGAGTGTTTCCACATACTAAATATCTTAATTAATCTGAAGTACTCAAACCCTTAAGAAAGGTGCTTAAAATCCTCCCAATTGACTGAGTGCTTAGTCTTATATGTAAGGCTAAATTACTACATCTGATGACCTGGCCTCCAGCTGTTTTGTACAATTAAAATTCAGAATTCAACCCTAAATATCATGAGTTTTTTGTAAAAGGTTGTATAGGATGTGTATGCCACAAGTCAAATGTCAGAATTAAGAGAGAATCTAAGGGAAAATGGAAATAAAGTTTAAAATAATTAATATCTAGATATAGTCTGGTTCATTCCTTTCAGACTGCCTGTTATAGCAGAATATTGGCTTGTGTGTGTTTGCAAGTATCTGAAAGTCAGTTTCAGTATGTATATACACATTACATAAATTTGCCCCAGCTGTCCTAGGTTAAGTTACGCAATTATATTTTTTTTAAAAAACACAGATCTATATTCACATAATACAGTCTACGTTTTACCTTTCCAGGTATGAAGCAACAGAGATTAGAGTCCACATACTTCATGAAAGTCATATTTAACAGAGAGAGTCTCGTTTCTACAGCAGCAAGGATGTCTGCATGACGAGCTAAAGAATGGTTTCTTCTTTCTGACTCTCGTCTAGAAGACAGACGGTTAAGTGACACCGATTAAACAATGAGTCAACAAAATGAAACTGTAACAATTGCTCGAGTTAATTTCACCCTTGAAGCCCTCAGAGATTTGAAAAGGTAAAACTCTAACATTAGTTCTGTCTTTATAGAAAAAAAAAATACAGATCAAGAACCAGCTAGTAACAGCTTAAGTAAAATTTGTTCTCTAAATAATTAATACATCTTCTCTGATTCATAAACTCCGTATGTAATTTAGGACTATTTAAAAACAAGCTTTCAGTACTAACAGTAGACACTGAGTCCCTGTGAATATTTTTAGCCCCCATATTCCTACAGTTAGTACTTCAATGCAATTGACATACATTTAATATATTAGTGCTTGCTACAAAGTTTAGGTTGAGATACAAGCTCCTTTTCACAAAGTATCTCTACAGTAAGTAACATTTAGTTTCTTCACTCTGACTGGAAAATCTGATAGGAAACGGCATCAGCTGCACTTATTCACTGGAAAAAGGAGAAAATACACTGCTTCAGGGAGAAACTATCTCCCAGTAACGCTCACACATCACCCCCCGTCCCCATCCCTTTCCCCTGTTCAATCCTTGGCACTGAAAAACCTTGCTTTTTTTTTAAGCAAAGTCATAGATAAATCATCAGTGAAGGCAGTTGGTCTTGAAAAGGAATGGCATTTATTCATTCCTACAAGTCCTTGCTTGATTTGCCAGAAGAGTCAAGTAATACAGAACCCACTCTTCTTTTCTCTGTCTAAAATATCAGAGACGCTTTCCAATATTCCAGTTCCTCGACATTATTTTGTAATTAGATCTTAGGTTTAAGGTGCTTTTGGAAAAAAAAAAATGAAATAAAACCAAATGTGACTCAAATTTTCAAGATATGTAAGTGGAATTAGCCAGCAAGAAATTCCTTTTCAATATTCTGCTTAAAAGAATCTAGCACATCTAAATTTAACTACAGTTTTAACTGGTACATACCTTGGAAGCTGAGCTTTAACTTGTTTTTGACACAAGTTGTGGTATCTTTCCACTTTCAGAAATCCCTGATTTAGCATTCGCTGGCAAACCAAGTCCATTCTCTTACAAACCTGTATTTAAGTAAAATGAAAAACTTAAGGCTCAAGTAAGGCCACAAGCCTCTTTTACTATTACCTTATCCATATTTGCTCAGTAGTAAAAGATTCTCTTACCAATTTTTGCTCCATTTCAAGAAGCAGAAACTGCAGTGGAGCCTAAGGCATCACATCTCTAACAATGTACTCGAAAAAGGAGCAGCTGTGTTCCACACAGTTCACAAATTAATCTCCTGATATTGCCTAACAAGGTCTCTTGTAGGCTGAATGCCACCCATATATAAGCAGATACAATTTCCTCTGATTTTAATGAAAGTTGCAAATGCCTGTGCCTGGCTTTTAACTTGGTCTCCAGAGTCATTCTGGGAGATCAAGTTAAAATTTTGTAGTCTCAAAAAAGAAGCCTTTACAAACAAGAAGTCATGATGGTTTTCTTCCATCATTTAAGGCTTGTTTTTGAAGACATCCACAATTAAGTTTAAAAACTTAGGCAATACAGTGCACATGAGGCAAGATTCCTTTTGGTATAAAAAAACCCTTTTCTTCTCTGTTTAACAGATTCCTTTATTTGCTGTGTTGCATACCAATAGCCTTATTTTTCTCCAAAGATTTAGGGAGAAAAGACATTAATAGCTGCAGAAGACATAATAAACTGCTAAATTTAAACCTTTACAAAGTAACCAGTTACAAGACAAAGACAACTCAACAAAACTTTAAAGCAGTTGCAATTCAGTTCTGAAGATGCAAGAGCTTAATGAATCAACTGTCTTTTGAAATTGCTTTTTTTTCTTTTGTACTAAAGTGCACAACTCCCACTGTGACCCCACTTTGCAATGGATTAGCTTAGCTTTTTATAAAAAAAAAAATACAAAAAAAAAACCCAAACAAAACACTCCTTCCCTCCATACATTACTCATTTCATAACTGTGAAGTCTATGTAAATTTATACCTTGAGGAAGAAGATTCTCACTTCTAGAAAAGCCTGCAATTATTTTCCGTTTATACAGAAGGCACTACTTAAAGAGTTCTGCTTTCTGTGAGTCCTCCTCTAGTCATAGCTAGTTTAAGCTCTGTAAGAACTGACCATTTTCAAACCGATCTGTATTCACAGGCCGCTAAGTAATCGCTGTCGATCCATCTGTGCTCCTTTGTAATAGATCTTGCTCGTTAACAGTCAGAGGAGAACGATCAGACAGGCTAACCAGAGGTACAGCCTCAGCACACTCTCCCCCGCATTCGCCCAATCAGCTAAATTATTTCCAGTGTATAAAAAGTAATGCTAGCCCTTCGACTACAGGAAGGAGGAAATTGTGACGTTCCTTCTAAGATATTAGCTGCATTAGTGATGCCTAGATCTGATACCATTTGTGAGTACAGGACTTCACAGCTTTCTTGCAGTTCTAATGAGACCAAACCCCTGAACTGGGACCTGCACAAGGGCTATGTTAGCTGTGCCATTATCCGACACAAGAGAAAAGCAAGCCTAGATACATTATTAGCTACAAATTCAGAGGAAGCGCAGAAAGAGTGACTTTAACCAAGTGCGTACTGACACCTGGTGGCAGCAGAGACCTTTCAGCGTGCTGAAGCCCTCCCCCATCCAAGAGGGTAGATTGCAACGGATAACATTAGATTTCTTAAACACTGGAATTTTTTAATCTTACTTGTTTGCTTACGCTACGAAGCATGAAGAATTATTTGCTCCAATTTCTGGACATTAGGCATATTTGTGCCAATAATCAGTCCAGAACCCAAACACTGCGCAGATAACGTGCCATCAGAAACCAAAAGCGTTTGTCTGCAATTTATTTTACCAGTCATCTCTTAATTCTCAGCTGGTTCCTGATGTCACCATTTAAACCACACGACACCTGTATTTACAGGAACAATATACCTCTTCCAGACTGCATAATCAGAAGTCATATGCAAAGTAGCATTATTACACTTTTAAGTGTGAATATTAGTCCAAGACAGTTTGATACTAGCTATTCAATGGCCCACAAGGAAGTAAAAAGTTAAATTTGCCCCTATTTGTATTTGCAAATTTTTGTGAATACTTTCTTATTCTAGCCATAAAGCTGAAAGAGCCCAAGTTTCCTCAAATGTCAAGTCCAACCAGACACTGCGTTCGAATTTCAGTGTTAGAAAGTTATTCCGTCTCCATGTCAGAAGCAGAATGAGAAGGTCACTGCTTCTTAGCGTGCTGACTTATATGCAGTAACAGCTTCTGTGAAAGAACTCATTTCCCACCTCATTTGCAAAGAAACTAAACTGACACAATCTACTAGACGACTACTACCAGTTTCCCTTTCCTCAAGCATGTATTATTTCTTCCAAGCTTCACTAACCAGTATCAAAACAGAGATAAAAATATCCTGAAGTATTTAGATTCAGTATATGTTCTTTTTCTTAGAGGGTACACAGACACCATGTTTCACAATGCCTTTCTAGGGTGAAGCATAATATAAGTAAGTGACAAAATGTTGAAGACTTCAACAAGAAGCTTTAAAATAGAAATGCCTGTAAATACAGATTTACTGAAACTGTGGGAAGATTAAAGCCATGCTGTCCAAATGCTATCAATCACTCTTTATTTGTGCTGTGCAGAAAATAAGCACAAGTTTGCTGCAGAATCTAAGACACTTCTGACGTGTCAGAATCCAAGATAACCTTCTCCTCAGAGCGTTCATGGAAGGAGGTTGTGGATTGTTTATTTTTAATCATGCTTGCTGTAGTAATAGCCTGAATGGAAGTGCATTTTCAAGCTCGGATGTGAATGAAAAGAAACTGGAATATAAGAATTTCATTAATATCCCACTCAGGTAAAAATTCCAGAGCTTCTGTAAGTCATTAAAAAAACCACAGTAAAAGAAGCCTTCAAAAGCTGGAAGATAGCTACCTTCCACATCAGCATGCACGTTAGGCTGCAGCTTGTCCAGAACACTACAGCTTCAGACATAATGATCTTTTGGGTTTTATCTGTCTCTCTTATGATGACGTATCAGAGGAAGTAGATGAAGTAGGGGATGAAAGCAAAACACCGCTGCTTTTCCTTGCATTCATTTTGTCTGAACAACAGTGTGACAACTCCAGATTTGCAGAGGCATGATTTCAGTCACGATTGCATTCTGAATACCTATTGTTTAGTCTCTACTACTTTAGACCTACTTCTCTGCTTAACCAGTAGGTGCTTCATTTATGCTTTTAAATGCAGTAACACCAGGAACAGCAGAAAGCATTGTGCTCAGGAAAGCAAGTGCTTCTTTGCACAATGAGGGGCCCGTGGTCTTGTCTTGCCTGATGGCAATCATCACAAGTAGGAAATGTTCTTTATCCCACACTTTGGTGACAGGAAAAGACATATGGATCTTAAGCCTTAGACTACGCTCCTCATTGTGCTCTACATAAACAATACAGGTTCCTATGTCTATTTTAATCTGAAAACTTGCTGATGTTTTACATCCTCCCACCCAGCCAACTCCTTAGTCTGTCTTGTACACACTCTAGCTCCAGCACCAGTTCAACTCAAAGATTTTTATTTATTTTTGGATCAGTTTGCTAAGGTGATCCAGAAAAAAAAAAAAAAGAAAAAAAAGAGATTAGCATATCCATTTCTTTCAATGCTGGGATCGAGAATGCATCAAAATGATCAGTTTAGGGAATCCATATTTTGTGTCTACACGTGTATGATCAAACTTTGTTCAGGTTGACTAATGTTCTGGATCACATCTTCCTACCTTCCTCAAGATGCTTTATGTCATGTAACGCCACATTTTAAGGGGTTAATGAGGCTGCTTTTGGGCACATTTTCACTATGTATGAGACCTAAGCAATTTAATCTGTCATTTGATTAATGTGGTCCTGCAATGTATCTTCAGCAGAATACTATTCATTATAAGATATATCCATTCATCTTTGATAAGCAGCTCAAGTCAGTTCTCACAGAGAGGAAAAATTTACCATTTGTGTAAGACAGATCTTAGAGCAGGAATACGCAAATGTCTCCCAAGGCTACTTGTGGTGAAGTGATGAAACTTCCTTATGAATTTATGCCTAGATATTGTTATTTTTTAAAGGCTACCTTAATTCTCCATCCAGCCTCTTCCTCTCTGTTTACAGCCTTCAGAGAATCACCAGAACACCACCTTTAGTTCTGAATGGCCATCCAGAAAGACCCAGTTGTTCAAACTTACATCGTTATGAGCTACACTTTTGACTAGATCAAACCAAAAGGGCTGTGATTCTTTACATTAGTGCTGGTTACCAAAGACAAGCGTGCTTTCTTCAGAAGAACACTCATAATGCCTTCTGATGTGCTTTAGGGAGCAGTAAGGAATTTGATGGAGATTAAGTTTCTTGGCTGTCATTGACTCAAAAATTAAAACCAGGGAAAGGCCAACTGAATAGTTTCCTTCATTTTACATCTAGTATTGTTCCATGTGTGCATCAAAGTTAGTATTTATCCAGCGAGGTTTTGCATATTTCTGAAACTTCTGAAAGGGGCAGCTTTCTTTCAGAAGAATGAACTTGTAGGTGCTAAGAGAGCACAAAAGTGTTACATTTTACTTCCTAAGTAGCAGTGACAGTTAAACAGCTGATTTAGTCCTTTCACCACCATCTTTCCTATTCTGAGCTTCACTGCTGACAAAGCACTGCTTAAAAACATTAGCTTAGCCCTACAGAAAGAAAAAACCTTCTATTGACTAGTGATAGCTTCCACAGGTACTACCATTTATAAAACGCCATGGGAAAATTGCAGCAAAGGCCTGTGTCTCGCGTTGCAATACAAACCATGCAACACTAAGCATACCCAAACAGTTTATTTACTTCTCTTCCCTTCATTCAAACTGTAAGTACTCAAAAGCAGGGGCTGCAATCCAAAAATGCAGTAGTACGTCTTTTTCACAGATCTGCTACCTACTCTCACAGAAGCAGCAAAAGTCTTTAGTGGACTGACAGCATGCTAGAAGCATTTAGCTACTGGTATACTTGGTGTGGTATGAATAAGAACAGATTTTCTGCTCGAGGAGCTTTCAGTTTAAAGTTGCAGCCGGGATGCAACACTTCAGCTTGCTGATCCAGGACACATGCAGTCTAGTTTTCTGCAGAAATATGGTTGTAATATTATCCAGTTTAGGCTAATAGAGTTCTTAAAATAGGAACAGTACAGTACATGCAAGTTTACTGGTTACATAAGCTACGCATTAATTCCCTCACTACTATTCCATTTATGACGTCATAAGAAATTCAGTAAGATAGCAACTCGGCATATTCTGTCATAGTTTACAAGAGGTTCCTTACGCAGGCAGCTAAAGATCGATATACACTGATCTCCTCACTGACAGCTGTGCATTTTTTTGGCATTCTAAAGTTGAGAGGCGGAGGTAATGGCTTTTATTAGATCTACTACGATTACTGGAAGAAGCAGGCAGCCCTTCAGGCAGACAAGGGCTTTCTTAAGTCTTCTTTTTTGCCCCACATATATTTCTAGATTGGGTAAGGTCCTCAGAGCAGCAGGCTTACCACCTCCCACACTTGTGGACTTAAGCTCTGTAGGTAAAAATAAACACACACACGAGACACAATAGACCAGCCCCCCAAGAAACGCAGTCACTGGGAGAAATGAGCCCCCGGCAGCCCAGTCATTTATCGTATAGAGGACGAACAGAATGAAAGAAGTAGCAGATGGTAAAAGCCCTTTAGGAATGCGCGTATGGAAGCACACACCTACATGCCCGTGCCCCAGGGTTCGGGAGCACGGAGAAATCCCCATCCCGTCCCATCCCATCCCAT